AGGAGGGAAATGACCATTATAATAACTTCCATTAAAATTGTTTTGAGAACCAATTTGTTTTGCATTTCATAGCGTTCAGCATTTGATTAAGATTCCTAAACATTACAAGGTTGTAACTGCTTTGTAATATATGAAACTGTTAGTTTAAAAGGAATAAGAAAACTGTTTTGACAATTGTACAGATGGTAGCTATCAGTAGTTTGGGTATTGCTTCATTTATATCCTTTAGTATGACTTCAAATAAATGTTTTATGAGTACTGTCATACTTTTGTCATCATAAGAGAAGTACTTTTTCTGATATGTATTTGTACATTCCTGTGATAATAGTTCCATGGAGTACCTAAAATTCTCTAAACATAGTATCCTTAAAAAATGCAAACACTTTAGCCATATAAAGGTGGAAACCAAAATGCAGCTTGTTGTGAATTGTCCCTTAATTTCATTAATTAGTTTAAGAGCTGTTCCTTTCTGTCAGTCCACAGAACTGTAAACAAGAGAGAAAACATCTGTAGGTATCTAATATAATTATGCTAAAATGCACAAGTGTTACGGGTAAGTTCTAATAAAAACAGCAGCAAAATGACGTGAAGTGGCATAATTCCGAATCTTGCGCTCACCAGGAATCTTAAATTTACTCTGAGGATTCTGCAGCAATATGTAAATACATACAAAGGCTGTATTTCACTGAAAATAGTTATTCTCTATAAATGTGTATTAATGTAAAAACAATGGTGTTTTTACGTCTATTCTAGAAATGCTGTGAAGTTACTCTGAATTAGATGCATATGCAGAAAATGTACTTTGATAATATTTAATGTATATTTTGTGTCACAAATGAAGCGTTACTGAAGGCTGTTAACAAATCACACAAATTCTGGGAGAAAGAAAACCTGTTAATAGCTGTACCACACCATCTTTTTCATTTCCAAAGCAATCCATTCTTTTGTAAAAATGTATACTAGAACTATGACTATGGTATTCTTTTCTATGAATTTCAGTGGAACAGACTGTATTATTTTGCTTTAAAGAACAATTTCCAGATTTGTCTTGTTTTGAATTACAAGCCTTGATTTCTGCTATTATGTTCTATTGGTTTTGGCATGGATATACTAAAGCCTTTTTTTTTTTCCAGCATGTCTTTTCTCCCCTTTGGTTCTCCTTGTATTTACTACCTTTCTCTTTTTTTCTTGTTTTGTTTTTTTGTTTTGGTTTGGTTTTTTGTTTTGGTGTTTTGTTCCTTTCTTAATTGTTTCAGGTATTTCTTTCCCCCTCTGGATTCCCCACGGGCTGGATCGAGATGGTCCAGTCATGCCCAGCTCCTTCCTCCTCCTCCTCTGATAGAGCAATCTTGCGATGCTGACACTGCCAACCTCCAGTATCCTCACCCTCGCAGACGATGTGTATCTCGGCCTCTTAATCTATTACCTGAGAATGAAGGGGTTTAACATGTTACTTTAAATAAACTCTGAAGGGCCTTATTCTGGTGTTTGTGAATGCTTCCATTTCTGGCTGCCTTTGTATTCTTTCTCTTGTACAGAAGATTTTCAAAAATTTGGGAAATTCGTGCATGTTTTGCAGAACAAACAACAAGATTTAGAACCTGTTACTTGTGTATCAAAGGAACATTTTAATTTGTACCCTTTGAACTATGGCAACACATACAAACAGTATTAGCCATGAGCTATTTATGGAGTGGCTGCCTTCAATGTGCCTGTCCTTTTTTCTTTTTTTTTTCTTTTTTTTTTTCTTTTATGAAATCAGTTCAGTACGGCTTTAATTTTTTCTTTTTGTATACTGCACTGACATGTGAAACACATTCTCAAAATTAAATGTGCATTCAAGAAATTGTTGAGAAAAGTTGATACTGGATCAGCTCATAAAAGAAACAAAACCATTCCTGTGTATACTGCAGCTAAATAATTTGGCGCGTTTGGTTTTACTTTAGAATTTTCCATCTTGCTGTATAAATATTTAAATTTTATAATTGTGTTTGACTAATAAACTTGTTCTGAAAGATCTGTATTTGTACAGTTTTCCTTGTAATAGGCTTTTTTTTTTTTATATGTTCCTGATGAAGGAGGGTTTTGGATTCAGGTGTCCATTCTCCTAGCTCTGCTTTTGTGCTGTCATGTGCCATTCCAGATGTGCAGCTGCATATTACATGTGTCTGCCACAGAATGTGCTCCAACTTTTCTAATGGACGTGCTGAAGGTTTGTGGAGACTGCTAGAGCTGTTGGGTTTCACATTATCTCATAATTCTTTTTCAGTGACTGAATTAATCACTTAGGACTTTTTGAAGAAGGAGTGCTGACTTAAAAGATGTGTTCCAAAACAGGGACATTGTTGCTGTGTACCTGCATGTTGGCATTGACTCAGACGTTGGTGCAAGACAGGTGGGAGGGTAACTCTGGACAAAAAGAATGTGGTAGTTCTAGGGAGTAGCATTACTGTACAGGATATAATTGCTAAGCTTGTTTGGCAGATCTCGGGGGAGGAAGGAAAAAGGAGGCTTCTGTGCAGCAGAAATCCAAAGTGTAATAGTGTATTTCAATGTGCTTCAGAATGGGTTTATGATATTTCCTGGAGTAGAGCACTAATATAAGGTAATGGAGAGGGCAGCCTGCATCCTTCCAAAGTGACAGCAAGTTCCTGTGAGTTTTACTTGTATTCTGAAAACTTTATTTGTTCAGATGCACCACATCTGTTTCCTTATTTTTCTCTGAGGAGCCTAGTCTCAATTTACTAAAAAACCACGAGGTACACTGGTGTTGAGGGGTGGTTGCTGACGGTGTGTGAAGGGAGGCTGCTGATACTTTCCAGCCAGCAGGAACAGAACTGTGGAAGAAAAAAGTTCTATACCTTTTTACCAGAAAAAGTTAACACTTATAAAACTGTGCCATACTTCGTAAACAACAGAAATGCTACACGATTAGAAAATAAAGTTTAAATGGGGGGTGGGAAGTAACTATTCCTCTGGGAGAGAATGAATAATTAAAAAGAAAAACAACAAACCTATCAAAACTATTATACTGGGATTCATTCCTAACAACTGTTAGGAACAAAGTGTTTCTGGGTATGCCAGCAGCAGAATGTACTTTTGAAGGTTTAAGCCACTTGCAGAATTTCTGTCTTAACCCTTTAAAAGATCACAGAATATCCAGTGATAGTAATAAATGACAATTTTTTTGCAGCTTTTGCGCATTTTTGCAGCTTCTAGTGCATTTGTTTACAGTTTAGTCAGCATGGTCACATTATTTTCCTCTGTGATGAGCACATATGGTCAGATATCCTAGTTCCATTCATAATTCTTACTAATGGAAACATGCTATTACAGTTGCAGTGCACACAAGTCATGTTAGGATATACTGCCCAAGTACTTTGACCTCAACAAATGAACTCAGGTGCTGTTTTTGTGGCTCATCCCTGCCTTTCCCCCAGCCTGCTATTTTGTACTGACCTCTCTCCAAACCTGGGCCCTTCAGTCCCTGTCTTTGGCTGTCCACCTCCTCTTCCTCAAACTCATGCTTCCCTCTTTATTCGTCTGTGTTGCCTCCTTGACTCAAAACTTTGAACTGTGCTTTTGTGCAGTATCTGGGCCCTTGGGCATAAGCAGCAGAACCCCTAGAAGGGAAGGCGATAATAGAAGGGCTTAGGAAGGGATGATTACAGCAGGTAGTTGCGATATTTTAAATGTATACAGCACTTTGTAAGGCTTCTGTCCCTTTTCTTCTGAAAGAAGATACACATTATCCCTTATACTCTTTCTAGATCACAGAAAGAGCACCAGATATGCTTGGACCACATCTCAGCTTGAACTTCTAGGACTAGAAGTTTTTGGGTCTTGTAGTAGCCTTTAGGCTTTGGGGTGTTTTTCTTTTCATGTGGTGGTTTTGCTTTTGTTGTTTGGTTTTGTTTTGAATGTATTTGAACACAGTATGAACTTCTGATGATGTTGAATGTGTGGTTTTTGCCCTCTCCATATCAGGAATGCAGCTGTAGAAGTGCACTGTAAAAATGTCCTGGATAACACTGAATTTTATGTAGATTTGTTGTTGTCACACACACACATACACACTTTGGAAGGCACCTCCTGCCTTCTCATCCTCTGCTTAAAAATCCCATTATATTTACACTTCAAGATGGAAATGAAGTTTTCCATGTACTGTATATAAACTGAACCACAACAGGTTCCACCTCAACGGGAGAAATAACTTGTTTACGTTGAGGGTGGCAGAGCACTGGAACAGGCTGCCCAGGGAGGTCATGGAGTCTCCCTCTCTGGAGACATTCAAAACCCACCTGGACGCGTTCCTGCTCCAGGTGACCCTGCCTTGTTAGGGGGGTTGGACCAGATGATCTCCAGAGGTCCCTTCCAACCCTAACGATTCTGTTGATCAGCTTCATCTAAGTGATTCACGTGGCAAAAACGGGACATATAAACAGTGAGGAACATAAACAACGTCTGTCTTATAAAGAAACAAAAGTAATACAAATTAATCCGACTGAAGCTTTTTTTTTTTTCCGTTTTGGGCGGCTGTGCCCTGGGCGAGACAGCCGGGCCAGCTGGGCTGGTCCTACTCAGACATCCCGGGTGGGATGCTCAGCGGCCTTTTCCATGGAAGACCCCGAGCTACTCGCCGGTACCGGGATCCAAGCCTGGCCGGCCTGAAAGCAAATACCGGAAACAAACCAAACCGATGTCATTATCTCACTCCCAAAACCCCCCCCAGCGTCCATTATGCCGGGAAACATCCCGCCCTTCCCGCTTCCCGCCTAACGGACGCCAGAACGCGGCCGGGGGGGGCGGGGCTGGGCGGTGCCGCGCGCCCTCCGCCCAATCAGCATCTCCGCCGTCCCTCCCCCAAGCTGCTCCCCCGCGGCCGTGTCCCGTCACCGGCCAATCGCGGGCGCTGTTCGGGGCTCTCCCATTGGCCGGGCGGGAGGGAGGGAGAGCGGGACCAGGAAGGTGCGGGAGGTGCGCACGCGCCCCTGGCGCTGGCAGGGGGCCGGTCCCGGTCCCGCGGTGGTTCCCGCGTCGCGCCCGGTGAGCGGGTGGCGGTGCCCGCCCGGCCTGCGGGGGCGCTGCGGCGGCGGCGCGGAGCGGGGCGGGGCCCGGGTTTTGGCGGTCGGTCCGTCCGCGGGCGCTCCCGCTCCTTCGGGGAGAGCGGCGGCGGGGGGACCCTTGGGAGGGCAGAGCCCACCAACCCCTTCCTGTTTCGGGTATAAGGGGGTCGCCGGCTCCCAGCTCCGGCCTGCGCGGCGGCGCGTTTGCCGGTGAGCAGCCGGAGCCCTCCCACCGCTCCCGGGCCGAGCGGCGGCCCCGGGGGGACACACGGGGGTTGTGTCGCCTTAGGTGCTCCCTGCCGGGGCCAGGGAAGCAGGAAGGCTCTGCCTGCCTCGGTCCGGGCGGCTTTGCAGCCTAAATATAGGCTGGCACATGTCGCGGCGCCGGCTTTCTGCAGCTCGCGGGAGCGCTGCTCTTTTCTGGCAGCCCAGGAAAGCTATAAAACAAAGTCTTGGCGGGAGAGGGTCGGGAATGATTCCTAAGCACGTTTGTGGATGAAGCGGGGCGATTACCAAAGAACATCGGCTGTGAGGTGTGAGTAAAGCGTGTTGGCTTGTGTAACTCTGTGTCCGTGTTGCTCCCGCTGCAGATGCTGCCGGGCCGGGGCTGATGGTGTGGCCAGGCCGAGTGCTGCTGTTCTGAGCAGCCTGTGCAGAATGATGGAAGACTTCAGGAATATCGCCGACGAGACGCTCCCGAGCTTCTTGGGCTATTCCTTGAACAGCAGCGCGAGTGTCGCCTTTGAGAATGTCACTGTCGCCTCAAACCCGGGATTACCTGTGGCGGCCTCCACTGTTGCCAGGAGCCAAAAGGAGTGTGACAACAGGTGAGACTGCTGGTAAATGCCACTCAGCAGGGTAAAATCCGTTTGAGCCATTTGAAACGTTTAGCTTTTTAAAGGAAAAAAAATCTTTTTACGGATTATTTGGTAGCTGATAAAACTATTTACTAATCAGTCGCACAGTAATTGGGAAATGTTGGTTTGTCTGTATTACCAGTGAAAAATCTGCATCAAACTAATGCCTAATAAAGTAGTTAAAATTTATTGAAATTACCCTTTAAAAGAGTAATTTCATTTTTAGACTGATAACAATCAAGTTTCTTTTAAGTCAACTCTTCTTAATATAGTCAAGTTTGAAGTAATGTAGAGAATAATATATTTTTTACATATGTGTTCTCTTGACTCTGTTAACTGTTCATTGAACTTACCTGAATCTGACTCATTTTAGAAAGGGTAACGTAAGAACTAGAGTTATGGATAAGAATGAAATTCCTAAGCATGAATAATTAATTTAACACAATTTATAATGTTTTGCTCAGCAAGCAGTAGAGCAAAGAGTAAAATTAGAAGCCTTTCTCACTTAACTGCTGTCCTGTGACTAAAGAAGAAGTAAGAGCAGACTTTAATACTCTGTCTTTCCACAACCAAAAGGTGGTTCCAAAAGGGTACCACTAACCATTACAATTATGATGTAGTATTTTTCTAAAGAACTGCAGAAGGCTGGAGGAGATCATTTGGGGTACATATGTGCACCTGTAAATGCAGATTAGCTAGGAAATGCTAAAATATTAGAATAACTTAACTTACAGGAGATAAGTGGACATCAGTATGATTTTTTTTTAAAATACCATTCTTTGGAAAACAGGCACAGCGCATATTAGAATGATTCTGATTCTGATGTGTGTTTTTCCTCCCCAAATTTACAGGCTTTCTGATAACTGTGCATCCTATTTAGATGGAAAGCATTCATCTCCATCAGGATCTTCTCACAGTAGTCAGTCAGGTCCTGAACCAATGCAGGGACTTGCTCTCTGCTTTCCTGATGACATGTAAGTAGATAATTAAAATCTAATTCTGTTCTGAAGTGCAGGTACCAGTGTGTAGAATGTAATTTATATGTACTATAAGCTAGTTATGGACTACTTCAGATGCCTTTTGATGACTATAACTAGAGAGCTCAGCTGTGCATTAGCCTGTTAGCTTACAGTGTTTGACAGACGGGGCAGCTTTTCCTACTAAAAGAGGGATAGTGGCAGGCCACGTGGAATCATCCTGTGCAGTGCTGCCACTTAGCCTTAGCAGCTTTCTGCTGTTTGATTGACTAATTGGGCTTCAGGTACATGACAGGAGTGAGTATTTAGAAGTGATGTTTTCTAAACTGTGAGATTCTGTTTTGCTGTCACACTAATGAAAAATTTCCTAAGCATGAATAATTAATTGACTTATTTGAATCTGGCCTGTATTTACCTAGTTTACTTTACAAATCTGGAATTAAGCTGATCTTTCTGGTTCGCGTCATGTGTTTAAATAATATCTTGCACTGATTTAAATCTGCTCTGAATAAGTATTGTGCAGTTTGCATACAGAAAGGAGCATCAATTTCTATTAAATTTACCTTCCTTGTAGCCTCAATGATTGCTGTTTTGTAGGAAGTAACTAATGTCAGTGATACAATTGAGGGAGTGTTACTAAGCGGTGGAAGCGTTGGAAGGTGTTGCATAGGTTATTCTAACTAAGGTCAAATTTGTTCCTGTTGTTGTGATGGAAACTGCAATGTGTGTCTTTCTCACGGATAAAATTGCAATCTAGGCAGTATGCCCCTATAAAAACAAAGAATATAAGATTTGAGAGGGAGTCAGTGTCTTGATTGTACTGAAGTAAAAAAACCCAAACACCACAGAACATGGAATAGTTGCATGTTAGACTTTCAGAGTTAGTTTCATTTATTTATCTAAAATGTTGAAGCAAAAGTATGGTTCAGTTCACTCAATGTGGAAATTTTAACATATGACATAATTAGCTTATCTGCCTGTGTGGAAGTTCTGTAGAAGCAGAAGTGAAGAATAACATTCCTGCAGAATTAAAAAAGCTGTTACTTAACTACATGTAATTTCAGTAAGTCATGTTCTTTATAATTTAGTCCTTAATTTAATATTACAAAAAGTTTGCTGATACTGTGGACTTGGGAAAATCTTCTCTAAGATTTGGCTTTCAAATGGATCATGGAACTTGCTCAGAGTAGACCCTTTTTACAGAAACGAAAGAGAAGAACAAACAGGTAGAGAGGCATATATTGCATGAAATTTAACTATTTGTTTCACAGTTTAGATTGTGAAACTCAAGTCCTTGTAATCTTGATATTTTTTCCTTTATAGTAAAATGACAGGTCTATAGAATCTCTGCTCTTGGAAACAGCTGACTGAAACGAGGGAGTTGGAGAATTTATCAAATCTTTCTATAGAGAGATGTTGTATACTCATGTTGGTCTGTGTAGCTCACTGATTTTCAATATCTTTTTAGGGACGTTGCCACACAAGTTGTAGAGCCTCAGACAACTTGTGTTAGTTTGAAAGAATCCAACTCAATGTATGGAGAGCAAGATCAGAATGTCACTGAGCATTCAAATCGCAGTCAAGGTACTTCGCGTGAAGTCTTGCCGCCTGAGCGATTGGAAGGTATTAAATTTGGGGAAAAATTTTATACTTATTGTCACTGTAATTAGCTTTTTGTGCTACAGATGTCTTCTCTTGACCCTTTCACTGTTTTATGGCAGAGTATAAACAGGTTCTGAAAAGTAATCTCTTGGATTTGAGCAAACTGAAAACTGAGAAAGCTTGTAGTTGCCATTATGTTCTTGGATTCTTCCTCAAAGTACAAAGCTAGACAGGAAGCTGGTGAAAATAATGTTTGCTGCAGAGTAGCATACTAGAATGCAACTAGTATTCTGACTTAATTCCAGGAACTCTGTGGAAGAAGCGTATGTAACTTGTCCTCTACCCCTTCTGTTTTAGCAGGTGTAAGGCTGTGAGATTGTATTTTAATTAACATATCTTTTCTTGCCCTATTCCAACCTGTAACAGAGGTTTTAACTGCAGCTGTACGATCTGGGAACATACTCTTCTAGTGAGATGATGCATGAAAAAGTGGTTTCAGATACTTGCTGTGAGAACTATAGTTTGTTCGAAGCATGAATAGAGAGAGTAGTGTAAGCAAAAGAATTTTCTGCAACTTATTTTAAAAGCATGGCTATTGATATTAAACTTGTTTGGGGTTTTTGCTAACGCCAGTCCTCTGATTAAATTCTACTTATTCCTTATAATTCAATAAATAGAGTTAGTAAATATATACTTCTAGTCATTACCTTTTCTAAACTTCGAGTATTTGTGAAAGCTTTTTGTGAGGTGAGTATTAGTAATTTTGACAGTGTTGCCGTGGGATTTAGGTGCTGAAAAAAAATCT